GCAAGTCCAGGCTTGGTGGTCTTGTGCAATTCGGGACTACCAGCCGAGCTCGCGGCCGGTCGCTTCTTCGCCTGTCTGGGAGGTGTACGCTTCGGCATCGACGGCTCATCATCTGCGCTGTCCTCATAGGTGCTGTCCTCGTCTTCCGGCTCCTCATTCTCCTCGTCTTCGCCCTCTGGCTTCCACACATCGTCATCCTGGTGCTTGGGTCGACCCACGGGCTTCTTGCGAGGGGTCGATGGCTTGGATGCTTTGGCCGTTTTGGATGTCTTTGACGAAGCGTGTTTCTTGGGCTTGGACTCAGCGGCAGAGTCTTCGGCCATCAACTGGTGATTCACCATCTCCTGAACTTCGAGCTCCTCATCCTCGAGATCTTCATCCGTGGGCTTCCAAGCACCATCATCACCATCATCGCGCTTCGTTCGATGACTGGTCTTCTTGCGTTGAGCACCAGGAGAAGCCCTTGATGAAGATTGCCTCTCGGTCCTAGGTTCTTCTTCTACCATCTCCTCGTCCAAAATCTCATCATCGTACTCTGCGAGGGCATCCTCCTTTGACGGTCGCCATGTCTCATCATCTTCTGCTGTCCGTCCGCCTCTTGCCATGATATCGGTTTAGTAAAAGATAACCAATGACAAAACAACAAGCCCTGGAAAGGCCAAGTTTCAACTAATGCACAAGGCACTCTAATATATAAATTATGTGTATTCGAGAAGGCTTGAATGGGGAGCTCTGATTGCAACTACGTCTAGTCTTTGCCTAGACTTGAGGAAGATCAAAAACTTTATGTTGTACTTTGTTACGAAGCGTGGAAAGCAGACAACACGTCACAAACTCCACCTCCGGGGCTGTTCAAACACAGATCCACACTCAGTGCCATGATACCCAAGGCCCCCACAAACCCCTACTCAGGGCTGGCAGGGGCTTTGGTTGGGCTCGTGCACGCCTGGCACGCAGGGTAGAATTGTGGACTTGTTACCATGGCACTCCAATGAACCTGTTGTGATGAGCCAATGCATTGCTACATTGACAAATTGCCTGGCTGGATCGTGTTTCTTGTCAATGTCCGCTGCTCAGCAATTCCGGGACCGGAAGGTTACGCATCGAGCATCCAGCTATGGTACACACAATTGACAAATACATTAGGCAGGCTTCGTTCTACAGAGAAGTTCTCTGGAAAGCTCATCTGTGATTTGCTGTGCTGTGCCAACATCTCGCGAAATCTGTTGGTTGAGTGGAGTGGAGTCGTCGGAGGTGCCCAGGCTTCAGGCGTGCCGTGAATTGTACATACTTCTCGATAATCGGGCTCTGTAACATAAATATCGCCTTTAGCCAAATTATCGTTGAATATTCGCAGGCTAGAAAGATAGAACCATGCAACACTTTGTCAATTTACCCAATTAACGCCCGCTAGATTGTATGTGCCTCGATTCCATCGAAACCATAGAGTACACCGAACCTGCGCCTACATGTGACTGTAACTCACGAATCATGCAAAAAATTGAAAGCTCGTCCCTCATTACTGTCTCTCGGACTCGTCCTGGCTTGGCCGGTCGAGCGGCACGAAGCCAGGCACAGGTGGCGGGTTCCCAAAATCAATCTCCGGCCCGCCTATAGCTGGACCATAGTGTCCATGCAGTGATTGTGTGGCCGATCTACTTGCCGACTCATCAATACTGCCGAGGCCACTCCTCCCGCTGCCGTCCGCGGTGGGCCGTCCCTCCATCGGGCTCACCGTCTGACTATTGCCTCTCCTCCGCTGGCGACTCGCTGGCGGCGCTGCGCCCGGCCGCATCGACATTGGCGAGACCATATCGTTGATGCTCGTCGCGGTACCCGCCCGCCGAGGCCGGCGCTGGCGATACCCGCTATTGCCCTCAAGGTCGGTTCCTGTGCCGGGTAGCTCGGGCCTGAACTCTCCATCAACGCCTAGCTCGATCGGCATCAATGGGGAGCCAATGCCGTGCTGCGAGCCATTGTCATCGCTGCCGGTGGACAGCTCTGAGGCATTGCTGGCGTTGCGACCGTGTGCGTTGGCGAAATTGTGATAGCTGTACGCCGAGTCGTTGCTGTTGACGCTCTGGCGTATCGCAGGCCGTCCCTCGGGATGCTGGTAAGCGCGCGGGGGGAGCTCAAAATAGACGTTGTCATCCGCCGCATCAGAGTTCACACTGGGGGTGTTCCATCTGGTGGCGGACTGACCGCTCCACAAGCTTGGTTGACTGGCTGTGTCGGACCCGCCACGGGCCCTGTTATGGGCCATATGAGGTTGATGGCCCGGTCTCTGGGGAGACGCGACGCTGGAATTCATCATCAAGGGGTCATAGTCCATAGCATCGACCTCGGACGGAGTAGGAATCACGCGCACATTGACCTCAGATTTCTTCTCGGTCGTTTGGCGTGTGCGGGTACCGGATGTTGTATCCCCGTGTACCTGGACGACTTGCTCCGTGTGTTTGAGGCGTTTGATAATGAAGAAAGCGGCGACGAGGACGGCGACGAGAATAAGGGCCGCTGCCGCAACAATTCCGCCGATGGCTCCTTTTGATAAACCGCCACCACCGCTAGTGGCATCACTCGACGAGCCAGCGCTTGCAGTAGCCTCTGTTTTTGATACTGTCGAAGGAAAGAATTTGGCAACCGCACCGTCCCCAGAGACTGTGGAGATCGTAGTTGGCGTGGGCGTGGTGACAGATGTGCTTGTGACGGTCAGAGCAGTGCCGTCTTCTGTCGTCGTGTATGTGAGCGTTGTTGTGGCAGGAGAGAGTGTGTAGCAAGATTCCACAGCGCAGCCCATGCCATTGGCACAACAGCCACCATTCAACGACGCCGGGCACGACGAGTATCCTGTTGGACATGTCATCGTGTATGTAGCCCCAGCGGGAGGGGAGCAGCCCTCAGCTGCGCAGATAAGTCCTATAGAAAGCGGTCAACTACCACATTGGCCAAACGACGCGCATGGCGGAGCACCCTCCCCCAAAAAGACCTGGCTCGTCAAAAAATAATATATCACTCACCTTGTCGGCAGCATCCTCCACCTAGAGACAGGGGGCACGCGAACATCCCAGTTGCGCCCGCACATACAGACACCGCAGATGTGGTCGCATAACAGGAACTCTGGGCACAAGCATAGTTCTCGGGGCAGCAGTCACCGCCTAGCGATGCAGCGCACAAGGAGAAACTTGCTGGACAAGAGTCGCCGTTGCGTTTGCCCATGGGATGAGCGTTACCAGACCATATTCTGACATCCTCTGTGACTTTGACTTTGTACACCCGATGTACGTTGTCTCGTTTTCCGTTCCCGTGATACATAGCGGCGGCGGCGTCTTCGGACAGGATTACGGATGCTCTCTTACCGTTCATCCCCGGGTGCATGCCGACGGAAGGCTATGGGGGGACATCGGCCGGGCCTGACGACAACTCCTTGGCGCTTCGAATGATACGGATTGCCAATAACATGGGCTTTCCGATCGTGGATGATGGTTCTAAAATCTGTCGATATGTGAATACCATAAAGTAGACAGACGCGACGCAGTGGGAACAAGTCAAGAGCGGGGAGTGCAGAGGTGGTGCTGAAGAAGAGTGATCTTCTTCAGCGGGCAAAATTAGAAGTGAATAAGGGAAGTGAGTGGGATACTCTTTCCAAAAGCAGCCGCAACAGGCAGATAGAATTGCTTTTCTCCGGCGTGATAGGGTGGCACGTACTGATCAAAGTCTTACGCCGCAGACGTGCATGCAGCACAACTCCCGGCTAGCCCGTGATCGCGGTCTGTGGTACTGCGATCCACCTCTGCATCCCCCGGCTACAGCCTACCTAAGACATCGAGCCGAGCCACAGATGCGATCAGATTGGGCCCGGGAGGCTAAAGGCAAGACAAGACAGGGCTGAGATGGTGAGGAAGCCGATGGTGGGGTCACTAGATGTCAGCTGAGAATCCTTCTAGACCATGGTCAAGAAGCTGAAGCAACACTTTCCCCAAGTTCCCACCGCGACCATGACATATAACCCTCAAAGTAAGGTACTACGGTATTTTCATTCCGAGCCGTCCTGTCAATAATGGCCAGGCGGTCGGTCCCCCCGCACACATCGCAACTCGCGAAATGGTGTCTGTCGTTGACGTGTGGGTCCATCCGTGGGCAGAAAGAAGAGTCCCCAGTCCAATGAAAGACACGAGTCCACGGCTGAGGGGCATAACCAGCCACAACAGCCGCCATGAAATGGATCCGAATGTGACCTTGACCTTCCGCCAACAGACGTAGCGGACTAAGACGTACCCCCATCCCGTACAGGCACTGAGATGCTCCAGCACGAGATTGGCTGGTCATCTTCTAGCCCCGCCACAGAAGATGCGCGTGCAGCCTCGAAGTAGACTGGCGTGGTTGACTTTGCTGATGAGAGATAAGACCAGCTATGTGGCTTGCACAAATTCCCTGAGACATGCCTCTGCATAAAACTGACAGCCAAGATGTTTTGTGTCGCCTTAAAAGCTTGATCGGGTACCCAGGGAAGAAGTATGGAACCTGCAAGACTAGAATCTGGTGTCGCGCAGCAGATTTAGGCGCTGGCTATTGCTCAGTCCAAGTCGTGGGTGTGGTACACTTGATGGATCGTAGTCGTGCCTTTGACGATGATGCCGGTGACAGGCATACAGTAGGTGTCGTAAGTACAAGTCCGGTACGGTACTATAGTTCATCCGAAAGTCTCTTTCAGCATCACTTGGACCGTGGTTTTACATAACACTGGACGCTCAAGACGTAATGGGCCTAGACGAATAATTTCTTGAGGATAAACATTCACCATATGACAGTAATGGCTATGTCCCGCCTATTGACTCAAGCAAAAGGACCAAGTCTGTATTCCGGGTAGAATCTTATATAAACAAAGAAGGCGCCTGCCCGTCCCACCTTCCGACACATATCACTATATATCCGCTTAAGAAATCCTCGAGCCGGATTCCAAATAACTCTATATCTACTGGATTAACACGAATTGAAACCATGGCCCATTGGTCTAGCGGTATGATTCGCCCTTCGGGTTATTATCCGGCTCTCTAAAAGACGTCAGATGGGCGAGGTCCCGGATTCGAATTCCGGATGGGCCCCTTTTTTGTTGAGGATTCTTCATTGAGGATATTTTTGCTCAGGACCTTTCCAATTTACCTACGCCGGCACAATAGATTATTTGACAATAACAATCGTTACGTAGTATATATAGCAGTATGCAGTAGATATTCTTAAAAACCCTAACCCATCAAGACTGGTCTTCTTGGCGTCTGTTCACAACTACATAGTATGCATACATTGGATGCTTATTTCCATCCCTATTCCTACTTTTCCTTCTTTCCCACTTCTTACTCTTATACTCATACCATGTCGTACTCAGGCACGTCGTAATAGAGACTTCCTATGGGATTAATATACTATACTTCTTGCGTCCTCCCCCTCCAGGGTTCCTCGTAATTTGCATCATCCTTCTCAGCCTCCTCACATAGGCTATTGACCAAAAGAGAGAGAGAGAGGGGGGGGGAGCGTGGTCGAGGGAGAGCATTTTCACGTTCTACTGTAGCTTATTGGTTGTACATAGCACCGTCATTCATGACTATCACATGCATTGTTTCTGTGGCTTGACGTTGAAGACATACCCTCTGTGTTACTCCACCGGAGTCGCAGTAAGAAAACTTGAACACGTTTGATTATACCGTGACCAAGCCGCCACGGAAGTTCTGAGATCCTTTCCCAACCAACCCAAAGTGATAAAACGATGTGGTATTCAATGAAGCGGCGTTGCGACACTTTTTGTATACAGAAATCACCATGCAACCTCCCAATCTATGTGTTTTACACAGCACAATTCGCGCGGGTGAAGTCGACAAAAGGGAAAAAGAGAAAATATGAAAGATCCTCCGTCACAAATATGCATCATGGGCCCCTAATCTCACAGCTCCCTCTCCACCTCAGCATCATCTTCAAACTCCACTCCACCCTTCGTCACTGGATCTTTCTTCGCATCCTTGATGCTCGCCAAAAACTTATCTGCGTTCTCCTTGTCACCCTTGAACAAGTGGTCCGCTACTAGCCGCTGTGGCGTCTCGCCCAGCCACTGGAAAAGTGAGAAGTCACGGAACTCATCTGCTTTGAAGACCTCGAGCATTTCAATCGGCTCATCGCCAATGTTCTCGACAAAATGGCCCATGTTGCGCGGGATAATTCCCACATCACCAGGCGAGTAGTCGAAGGTTCGCGCAGTGCCCTCGGCCGCAAAAATAGTGATGCGCGCCTTTCCACGGATGAAAAAATTCCACTCGTCAGCATTTGGGTGCCAGTGCATCTCGCGCAGCGCACCAGGCTGAATGATGGCATGCGCGGCAGCGACGGTCTTGGAGATAGGGAAGTTCTTGGAGTCGGTGATTCGGACCTCACCGCCAGAGGTGATGAGCGGATCTTGCGCAAGCATCTTGTGCGTGAAGTTGTACTTGGACTTCTTGGCGTGCTTGCCTGTCGGGCGCTCCTCATCGATGGTGCCTGGGTTAGATCCTTGGAAGATGTACTTTTCGCTGGAGGGGAGGTGTGCAAAGACTTCGGGGGAGAGGTGGAAGTTCTCGGCGACAACAGACTTGGGGGTATGTGCTGATATAATAACGTTAGCATGACAAGGCACACCGACCGCGAAAGAAGAAAAGAAAAAGGGAACCGGGAAGTGACTTACCAAGCCAATCGGTCAAGATGAATGTGCTCTCCTCGGAAAAGTTTCCATCATCGAAAATCAGCAGAAACTCGGTTCCATTCTCTCCCAAGCCCTGCAGACTGTGTGGCACACCGCTGGGGAAGTACCAAAGATCGCCCTTTTGCAGATCGTCGATGAAATTACCGCCCTCGTAGTCGAGCGCGGTAACGCGAACCTGGCCGTCGAGTACATACGCCCACTCGGCCTCCTTGTGCCAGTGCAGCTCGCGAATGACGCCCTCGTCCAGGCGCATGTTGACGCTAGCCAACTCACTCGAGGTGGGCAGCTCGCGGACAGTGGTTTGACGGGTCCAGCCACCTTCCTGGGTGTGAGGCGAACAGGGTCAGTCAAGCGGTTTTTTTTTTTTTTTTTTTGGAAGGGGGGGGGTGGGGATTTCATTCATCTCTAGTCAAACTCACCTCGATCCTCACGTGCGAGTCGGCAAAACTCCAGCGCATGTTAGCCATGTTTCCGTGATCGGTACTGGGCGGGCGGACGAGATCGGGGTCCTGGCGAGAGCGGCTCGGGTTCCAAGGCCCCAGCACGGAAGCGCCCCAACCATTGCGATAGGGCAAGGGGTCGAGGCCGTCCTTCTCGGGGTCGACAGCACGGTCATAGGGATCGCGGAAGTCTGGACGGTATGGGTTCTTGACGGCAGCAGTTTTGGCGCTGGTCTTGAACTTGTCCGGAAGGTCGAGACCGGCGGCGAGACGTTGCTGGGGCGAATCGCGATGGGGCGCGGCGAGCGACAGGCCCGTGAGGGACGCTGTGAGGAGTATCTGTGACACAAGCATGGTGGACTGTTCGCCTGACTTGGACGACTTGTCGACAGATCCGGTGGATTTTTCTTCTTCTGATTTTTTATTTTCCTTTTTTCTTCGTGGGAATACACGGTGGAGAAAAGGCAGGGCGTTGTGTCAAGAGAAACATGCAACCCAACAAGCTATGCACTATATATCTAAATCGTCACCATTGCGTTTGACTATGGTAGAGGTACCTGCGCTATGCTGCAGGGGACAGAGCTGTGACGGTAACCTATAACCCTGTCTCCCAGGGACCCGGGGGCAAGGGACGACCCACAATTCAAGCATTTGGTGCTCCGGTTTTGTCTCCTCCCCTTGCTGCAAGCGAACCACAAGCGAACTAGAGCTGGGGAAACAGACCAGCATCGGCTGATGGTGGTGCACGTCTCCGCTCTTGTCTCCATTTCTCTCCTCTACTAAGATGCCATTCTATCAGCAGCAAGCTCTGCATCATGGGAGGTCGTGTGGACTGTCGTAGTCATTCATAGCATGCCAACGACCGAAAGTTCTTGGTGAACCAAACAAAACTTCGAATGGTCTCTCTCCATTGCCGAGCCAATACCGAGATTCAACCGGGCACAACCTCGAAGTTTCCAACACGGACTAGCCTGTGCTCTTTCGGAGACAGCTTCAGCTTGGCAAGGTACCTTGGAACATGGTATAGGATAGGCACGTTCGGGTCCCCTTTAAGTGCCAAGAGTGTCGAGCCTGACAAGAACAGACCGAGGACGGCACTTCATCCAACGAATGATTGTCTGGCTATGTAGCCGGAGACAATCGCTGGCCACCTCACGTTTGAGTACTATTAAAATCACGCACCATAGTACCAGGTACAGGCAATCCGTGACGCCTTGACGTTTGCAGGGATAAACGTCAAGAAGGGCAAGCTGTGGTATATTCAACAAGGTCAGCCAAACAAAAAAGAGCTCCTTGTGGGATTCAATCCAGTGCCACCAATGCATTGCAAAAAGTAACGCTGTTGGCATAGTGAAGATCCAGCTGAGAGCTGTTGTGCCACGGGAGATGCTATGGTAGTATGGATAGCATATTCCACCCTACCCTGCCACCTCAGCGGATCTCCACAGTGATACCCAGGTGAGTCAGGGATCTATCATGCTTTCCCACGACTAGCTCCAATTATCAACGTCACTCTGTCGGTTCTGTCTAACCGTTGCGAACGCTCAGGGTCTTTTCTCTGTTCCTCCGTCAACGTCCAAAAGGCCCCTAAAACACCACAGGCGGGTTGGAAGACACAGAGGCTGCCCCTTGAAAATCCCTTCGACACATCAAAGATGAGTCAAATAAACGGCTATGGCACTGTCAGGCGCAATCCACCGCCCGCCATGACGAACCATGTCGACGAGGAACACCAACCGCTGCTCAATGCCGGGTCCTCGTTCTCGCAGCGCAAATCCCTCGTCACTCGTCTCCGCAAGGCAGCCAGAGCAGAAGTCAAGCGCGATTGGGCCGACGTGGTGTTGATCTTTTGTTACATCATCACTGGGCTGCTCGACAGCGCCTCTATTTCCATCTGGGGCTCCTTCGTCTCTATGCAAACCGGTGCGCTCCTAGCATCCCGTCCACCCAAAGGGTTTTGACCCTCTCTCTATCTTCCCCCACTGACCATCCCCCAGGAAATACCGTCTACATCGGCCTCGGCCTCGCAGCCCCTACCCAATCCACCCGCTGGATCAAATCTGGCACCTCGCTCATCGCCTTCTGCATTGGCTCCTTCGCCTTCGCACGCTTCCACCGCGCCCTCAAGCCCGCGCGCCGCAGCACCCTCCTCGCCTCCTTCGCCCTGCAGGCCACTCTCTGCGCTGCCGCTGCTGCCATCGTGTCTTTCAGTCCCGGCGGGCCCCCGCAGCCCACCGACCCCATCACGTGGGATGTGCTGCTGCCCATTGCGCTGGTGGCATTCCAGGCATGCGGGCAGGCTGTGACGAGCCGCGCGTTAAAGTACAATGCGCTTACGAGCGTGGTGCTGACGAGCATTTACTGTGATTTGTTTAGCGATGCTGAGCTGTTCCGTTTAGACAATGTCGAGCGAAACCGGAGAGTGGGCGCACCGGTGATGTTGCTGATTGGCGCTGTGGTAGGGGGCTTGTTTGCACACAGTGGCCTAGGTGTCGCGTGGGCGTTATGGTTAGCGGCGGCGTTAAAGATTGGGATTGTGATTGTGTGGGTGGTTTGGCCTGGGGTGGATAGTGAAGATTGAGCAATTGGCTTGGGGTCCGGGGAGTTTTTTGGCCCGCGGGAGGGGGGGTGGCTCTCCTTTTGGCGTTGTAGGTGAGGTTGGAAACTTTGGATATACTAGATATACAGGACAAGTAGGAGACAGACACTAGATGGGCTTCCAAAAGCCGTGCTATTTTCATTTTACTTTGCACTGCAACACTATGACCCGTCTTCTTTCACTGCCTTCAGTCCTCAAAAGGGTACTATTTGCGCACGGCGTAAGTCATATAATCTTAATCTGCATGCCGCACACTTCGTTGTATTTAAGCTGCGAAGCGAAAGGCCCTGACTAGCACAGACTTAAACGAAAGACTCGAATACGTGCTACTTCGCGCATTCATATCATCAATTGGACTTGTATTCAACTGCCAGAAAGCGGTGGAAGTCACTCGGAGCCCCTACTTGGGTGACAATAACTACTTAGGTAGGTATAATTCACTCCTAGCTAGGAGGTAGAGCCTCATCTACGAGGCACCCAGCGCACCTTCCCGACACCCCTCGCAACAATCTAATTCAAGGCAGGATGTAACTAAGAATGATGCCACACTCATGTCACATGCAAAATCAATATATCCTGTGCATATAGTACAGCTTCTTTGAACTTGTAACCTTACATCTTGACCAAACCCGTAAAAACAATACCGTCAACATGGCTGCCCCTACGGCTCTCCTGGATCTGCCTGTAGAACTTCATTGGAAGATTGCTGATGAGTGCATTTTCCACCCTATTGTGAATCCCAAGCCCAAGATTGACGGCCGTGGCCGACATGGTGGCCGTGGCTTCGCGAAGCGCTACCTTCGATGTGGTTCTCTACGCCAACTCACTCTCGTCAACAAGTACTTCCGGGAGCTGACTGCTCCGTATTTGTGGGAGAGTATTTGTATCGACGACCGTGCCACTGCGACCATCGAAGACAAGCTGCAGAACACACACAAGGAGCTAAACTGTCTCCGTCACCGTTTCGAGTACATGAAGAAGCTGACCGTCTCCCTTGGCCGCGCACCCAATCCTCCTAGACCATATGGGGGCGAGGATTTTATCGAGAGTGAGCTTCGAATCCCTCTTTGTCTTACGCTTTCAGTTCCAACTTATATCCAGTGCTCCGTACGATGCAAGACATTGAGACCATGCGCTATGTCATGGAAAGCGAATTTTCGACCTACACCATCCTACCCGCCGTCAAAAAGCACCTGATAAAATACCTACGCGGTGATATCCATCATTATCCGTTGTACATCTTCAAAGTCAGGCAGTTGGAGCTTTCGTGCCCCTGGGGTAGCCACAACTGGGACTTCGGCCATTTGACTTGGCCTTACTTCCGTCTCGAGCGCCTCTGGCTCGACTTCAATGTTGGCGCCGTTCAAATCTCGGGACTGGCAATCGAATCCCTTCCCTCGCTCAAGTACGTCATGCATCGAGCACATCCCGTAACCTATTTCGCCTCGGGCCACGAACTCGATGCTTTTACAGGATTTACTTTGGAGCATAGTTGGCGCGGACCTTACCTTACCCAGCTGGCAGACTGCATGCCCCATGTCAAGCACTTCGCCCTATGTGGTGTCCTGAAAAGCCCCGTCACCGATCTCGCGCCGATGCTGAGCGGTATGATCTCCCTCGAGCAACTCGACATCACCGACGAACAGGCTGTCACCGGCGCCGACATTGAGTCCATTCGCGACATGTGGCACCCCACCCCCGACGTCGACTGGGCAATGAAGCACTCACACCTCGTCGACACGCACCGCAACAACGTCGACCGCACGAAAGCCGCGAACATCTTCTTCAATACAATTTCCAGCCTTCAGCGCATTTGCTTCGTGCGCGATCAAGTTGGGGATCTGTATCACGCCACACGCGATGCATATTCTGGCGAACTAGAGGGCGTGGAGAAGAGCGAAACGATTACCGAAGCCTACCGCTTCCTTCGATACAACTACAACCAGGCTATCTGGCGCTGTGGATTTCCCAACCACCTAAACATTAACCTGTGGGACCGCCTGGACGGTGGCTGCGAGTGGATCCGCAGCGAGGACGCGTTTTGGCTGAATCCACGGTACCATACTGGCGATGAGACCGTCATCCCGCACCAGCTGTGGTGGGATATCTCGGAACACGAACATTTTGGCACCATGTTACCTGAGATAGCAGAGAAACTGGATAAGTGGATTGCCAAGCAGGTGACGCTGGATCGTGAGCGGGCGGAGATGCGGAAGCGTGATGCGTACATTCGGAATCAGCAAAAGAATTTGCCCAAAGGCAGGAAGGAATTACGGGCTAAGTAGATACCTAGTCAAGGCTAAGAAGCGGGAAAGAAGGAAAATGCGAGAATGCATGATTTTGTAAGTATCTAGGTAGTTCGCTATCTTTGCGAGAACAAAATGTCCAGAACACGAAGAATCAAACACATGGCGTCTGTGTGAATGCATGCCAAGGTAGCCAAGAATTGGGGCCCTCTGGATTGTATTCCACAATACAACAAATTCGTCAACCTCGCAACTTCTTTACCATGTATTAATATTCTGCCAACAAGATGAATCCTGAGAGTCATTCAACGGTATTCGCCGTCATGCGTTCCCCCCCCCCCAACCGAGCCAAAAGAATCTCACACTTTCTCTTCATGTATTCCTGCGAAAAGCCTATTGTATCACCTGAAATTCATCCAATGTGATTAGTGCAATGACTCGGCTATTCACGAGCGATGGATATACTGATCGATCCGGCGTCGAGTCCAGCAAATTCAATGATGCCTGGCACATATGCATACCTAGAAGGTGTCGAGGTATTGTATTTCGAACAGCAACGTCTCCCTAAGGTTTCCTTTGTGGCCCCACCGTTCGACATCACAGCGTGAAGGTAGCTCGGCTCAGCAAAGAGTTTAAAAAATGCGTGGACGTTGCCAGAGTTGAACTGGCGACCTCACCCACACGATTCTAGAAGGGTGCGAAGGGTGCGCGCTACCACTGCGCTAAACGCCCGACTTTTCAAAGTTTATAACAGAGATTATAGAGGAATCGTTCTTCGAGATGCCTCTGGGTGTCGCGATTCTGTTTGCTTTTGTGAGACGGGGCGGGCATCTATCTACTTGCAGACTCCCTGCCAGGAACAAAGAGCCGTCTCACGCCTGGAAACATCGAGAGTAATTACATAGTTCTCTGAGCTTAAATACAAAACATGACACAATATTGACATCATCAGAAATGTCGTTTCATTTACAATAGGGGTTTGTGATAGAGGCTCTGTATGTGAGGGTTTCTACTAAAATGAGTTGTTGAACCTCAGCCAGACTGCCCAAACACACATCTATACCTTGGCTTGAGACATAGTAATCGCTTCCCTGGGTTCACCAACGAACTCATCAAACAACGGTATCAATACCCCGTGCGGTATCTGCCTCTAATATATCATCAAAAGTGCCAGGACGCAATATGCTCTAGAGTTCACATGTCACATCTCATGTAGGTACCTCGGTCCGGGCTTTTCCATCTGGGCCGCCAAGTGGTCTTCATAGCTCGTGAGGAAGCCACCGGTAGAAAGAGATGCAAAGTAACAAAGCAAAAGAAGAGGAAAGGAAAACAGAGCACAAAGCCACCGGGCGGCCCCCAGGGCGGGGCGTGGGAAAACAGCCATGCTATAACAAACATGCAAGAGAATGGGAATGATTTACATTGAACATAATGGATATACGGAGTTTATCTTATCTCTTAAGAGACCGGTACTACTGTGATTGGGGGGATTGCGTCCATCGGGCTGGCAGAGTTCAGGACGCCATTGTCGCACCGTGGCTGATCTGCACTGTCGACAACACATCCTCCTTGACACCGGTAGAGAGTCTGGACGCCAGCAGTGCAGACAAAATATAGATTGTCGGCGGTGCAGCCCCGCGTGAGGCCACTCTGGCCGGCCTCTGCGCAGTTGGCCCTGGATTTCAGAGCGGGCGCGGCGAAGACCGAGATGGTACAAAGACTCGCGATGGTGGGGATGTATTGGAGTTTCATTTTCGGTGGGTGATTGACTAGGGTTGATGTGTTTTGGCCTTGTGTTTTTTTTTTTACAATACTTTGCTGGAAAAGATATAAGGAGTCACTGGGTTGGAAGGACACCTAGCGTTGAACCGTGATCGATGTAGAAGACTTTATCAAGGAAGACAAATGAAAGCAGGCCTCTTTGATATTTGAAGTGCTTTGCAGTCCCTTTGACGTTCTTTATACAATTCCCGACATTCTGGTTGTGTGGAACATAGAAGTCCTGTCAAATTAAACAAAGGGCCCAGATGCAACGTCAAAGTCCATGGATTGACTCTAGGTACCTGCCTAGCTCCTGTTGACAATAGATTTTCAACATGCTTCAGTCACCTAGGTAGGAAGACTATCACCTTTTGAAATGTTATGGACTTACACAAAATGACCAGGCTAACAAGTTACATAGTTCAGTGCAAAATTCTTGTGAGTCGAATGACAGACTGTGGCATATACCTAGGTAAGATATCTAACACACATTCTGGCACTGATACCGTTTGGCCCAATCCCGGTCTTCAAGTCTCATGCTCTGTCGTGGTCATATTCATGCATATCCTTCCTGTCGATACAATGAAAATGAAGGCGAATTTCCACTAGCAGTGTTCTCTGAATGGGTTGCCCAAATGCTGTACAAAGGCTGTATTGGAAATTCACAAGAGTACTTTGCATACCAAGTTTAGCTGGTCATAAGAACTGCAAATGGCTGGCGAGGATTTACCCCAAAAGAGTAGATCTATGTATAACAAGATACCCTTTCTCACAAAAAAATTAAGGAACATGGTGATACTAGCTTGTAGATCTTATAATGCGGTATTATACCTGACCCTTGCTCCAGTCCAACGGCTCTAGTCGATGATGGGTAGGTAGCATTCTGTGTTAAGACTGAATTGAGAAACATCAAATAGAAGGAATCCGATTTGCCACGCATGGACCTGGTGTTCGCAAGCTACCCCTCGACCTCGGGACAGTTACACTATAATGGAGACATGCAAAAGGTATGATGATTCGCCTTATTTACAGAATACTTTGTCCTAGCCTGTGATCGGGCTGGAACTTATATTTAAATACATCCAGCATACGTACCTATTAAGTATCTTGTTTCTTTGTAACCCAGTTCTATCTAGGCGCAGTCATTGTAGAAGGCTCATAATCTCGTTGACTCTTTTGAATACATTTCCTTACGATTCTTGGTTGATTGACAGCAGCCATGAAGCCCCTGGTACTCAACTTCTTTGCGGGATTGGTCTCATCGCAGATTCCCCCCTTCCAACATCCAGGACCCGATGATGGTTTGTTCACCTCTTCTCGCAACTTGTTGAACACCACGTGGTAGACCGCTAATCCCAAACCAATGACAGTCAGAGGACCCTGCCCCGGGCTTAACACTCTGGCTAACCATGGCCTCCTCCCCCGCAGCGGCAAGAACATCACGCAGAACGACCTTGTTCTGGCGATGCGACAAGGCGTGAGCCAGGACGAAACCCTCTCCATCCCGCTCTTCAGGGCCGCGGCGATCACAAACCCCAGCGGAGACAACACCAGCTTCTCGCTGCCAGACTTGGGAAGGCATAACATCTTGGAGCATGATGCTAGCTTGAGGTGAGTTGGGGGCAACCCCGTGACCTTGAAAAAGAATCAAAGGGGCGAGGCTGACAGGTTGGTGATTATGATAGTCGAATCGATGCTTACTTTGGTGATCCAATCCCTTTCAACCAGACCGTCTTCAATCAGACCCTGGCCCAGTGGACGGAAGACACGATCAATATCACTACCTCTGCTGCGGGCCGCGCCGTCCAAGTACGGAATTCTCAGGCAACAAACCCGGAGTTTAGCCTCTCCCAAGTTGCACAGGCCTTTTTGACTGGCGAGTCCGTCGCCTTCATTATGGTTTTTGGTAATCTTGAGACCGGTGTGACTCCCAAGTCTGATGTTGTGTACTGGTTCGGTAAGTACCTAGTAGACTGGACTCGTCCTATAAAGTGAAACAAGAGGAGTCACCTACTTATGCGGCATCTTTCAGAAAACGAGCAGTTCCCCCCAGGCTATGCGCCCCCTGTGGGCGTGGTAAACAGCACCAATCTCTCAGATCTCCAGGCCCAGCTTGCACAAGCACTGTTAGATCAGGGTGTGAATATAAGTGCTCCGTCAGCAGCCACGCGACGAAGTGTTCATGTACCAGTACCGCTCTAATGTAGCACTAGGTATGCGGCATCTTAGACGGGTGACCGGGCTCGGGTTGCCATATTGCTTTTTTATGCTATGAAGCCTTATGCTATGAAGCTAAGGGACTACGTACAAATTATACTTTGCTTCCGAGGGGATTCAATCAATCTCAAGGCTTGACTTGATTGAAGCTTTGTCCCTGTATCATTAGCGATACCAATACAGCTGAGAGACGTTGCTGCTAACCCAATCTGAGGCAACCCACAACCTTCTGCGTCGGCTCATCCGGAGTGGCGGAGAAGGTCTACTGAGGATGGCCATCAAGCATAGTTCGCCTTGAAAAGGCGCAGCAAAAGACCATCCAGGAGTGCCCCTTGTGGGCTGATTGAACCCCCCACTAGACTAAGAGAAACCGCCGATTTCCAAATTGTTTCGACCATAAAGCGCACCAGTGTGCCATTGGTGCTCTAGTCATGCTCTTGACTTGGCAAGGTTCGTCCAAACAATTTCAGGGGCTACCAGGCCGCGCGCAATAGTGAACGGACCCGTCGGTTCGGGAGCTTTTCAATGAGAGATCGTCAGGGCCAATAGAGTCGCCCAGCTACACCATTTTTCAAAGAAAGTCTACGGCTCACCAACAAACTTTAACCAACATGGGCCGAACGGTATTTTGTCGTGTTTTAGGTGCTGGATGCCGCGCCCCATTGCCCACGCCCGATTCGCAGAGATCGCCACGGGCCAAGCCGAGGACATCCCTTAGAATAGCATTCTGTCGAATGCTACTTAGAGTACCAGGGTACTAGGGGGGAGGCGAAGTTCTAAAACGCCCAAACTTTATTCACATTGACTACCAACCCACACTCATGATTCGTTACCAGTGCATAGCTTTGTGCGCAACCAGAGGTTCCGAGAACCTTGAGTTCTTTGGAGATTGCAGACAGAGAAAATCTCCACTTCGTCCTTATTAAAGTTTGATTTGTGCATGCAATAAACAGACTGCCAGTATATGTTCACCCGCACCCCCCAGCTTTCTTACATTGGGTATCCGAAACGAAATCTATGTGACAGCTCCCCGATTCTCTACTAGCGGAACATTCTTTTTTATTTGTTTTGAGCTGACATCATGGCCCGAAACTTTTGGATCGCATCGATCCTGAGCGCTTCCACGTTGGCAGACGCCGCGTGTGTATCAAAAGCGTCCAGTAATTCCAGCGGCCTCGTTGCTGCTACTTATTTCGCCGGTTATCACATTGACGATGGATTTACTGTTGCGGATATTCCTTGGGACAAGTACACCGAGGTGAAATACGCTTTTGCGTGAGTGAAAAAAAAATCCAATAAAAAAAAATCATTACACCAGACCCTGCCTGTTTTGCTAATACACAACTCTTCTAGCGAGACAACCGCAAATGGCAGCGTAGACTTGAGCAAGTCGGCCCCGGAGAATGTGCCTGATTTCGTAGCGGCAGCGAAGCAAAACGTACGTCTTATCAGATCTGCTTTTGCCTATGCACCAAAATAGCTACTGACACCGCATTCAGAATGTCAAAGCCCTCATATCCGTAGGCGGTTGGACAGGCTCTCGCCATTTCTCCACAAGCGTCGGCTCTGCCGAGAATAGGACAGCCTTTGTGAAGACCATTACGGACATGGTGAAGCAATACGACCTCGATGGTGTGGACTTTGAGTATGTTGCCCCGGATTTACTAGGCCCATCCCAATTACATGTAGACAAGCTTCTGACTCTTTTTGAAAACAACAGCTGGGAGTACCCCAACAAGCAAGGCCTGGGCTGC